AGTTTCAGGAGGTCCCATTTGTTAATTGTTGATCTCAGTGTCTATGCTACTCATATCCTTCACTCTTTTTTAGTTTGTTTGTTTTTAAGTTTAAATTTAAATTGGAAACAAGGCTGCTTCACATGTCAATCCCAGGTCCCTCTCCCTTTCCCTCCCCTCCTCCATGCCCTCCCACCAACCCCTCCCAATACCCCCGGATTTCCCAAGGGATGGTAAGGCCCTCCATGGGGGTGTCCATAGTCTGTTATTTCATCTAGGGCTGGGCCTAGACCCTCCCACCCCCCAAGAGTCCAGGGTGAGAGTGCATCTCTCATTGTTGGATGGGCACCCAAAGTCCATTTGTATGCTGGGGATAAATACTGATCTTTTTAGAAAGCCAAATGCCCAAATTCTTGGAAGCTGAATGTGAGCAAATCCTTAGCAAAAGCTAGCTTAATGATAGGGTAACAGCAGTGTGTGAGGTGTGCTGGTTTCAATAAGAATGACTCCTATAGTCTTATATATGTAAATGTGTGGTTCCTGGTTGGTGGACTGATGGCAAGGGTGATGAGATGTGGCTTTTTTGGAAAAGGTATGTTTGTTGAAGGGTACACCACTGGGGGTAGGTTTTGAGGTTTCAAAAGCCTATTCTATTCTCTCTCTCTCTCTCTCTCTCTCTCTCTCTCTCTCTCTCTCTCTCTCTCTCTCTCTGTCTGTCTGCTGCCATGCTTCCTGCCATAATGATAATGAACTAATCCTCTTATTCTTTAAACAAGCCCCCAGATAAATGCTTTTTTATGAGTGGACTTGGTCATGGTGTTTCTTCACAGCATTAGTAACCCTATCTAATGAATGAGTTAACAGCAACATGTGTTCACTAATTTCTTGAATGCAAAAGAGGACTGTGTTCTCTGTGCTTGAAGTGAGTCAAGGGCAAAGTAAAGAAATGAACACATTTCAAGAGATAAAAGTTGTTGCTACTTGAAAAAAAGAAACAGTGAAGTGGTAAGTAAATCTAGAGTTGGAGAATATGGTAGCACATGGTTTTATAAAATTCAAAAATAAGCCATTTAGAGATATTATGTATATTGTAACATTTTATCTATAATTACATATACAGATTTATAATGATATGATATATACAACTATACTCTATATACGTGGCTTCTTTATGTCAAGGCTGAAATCCCTAGTATAATCAAATGATGATGACAATTGACATCTTATTATCATAGTATGAATGTCAAGATTATAATACAAACTTGGGAGTCATCAGCCCTCTAAGTGGTACACTAATAACATTATAGACAAAATTGGTTTCAGTGATGCATGAAGTCAATCTCAGCACTTGTGGAGGCAGAGGCAGGTGGATAGCTATGAGTTCAGTACTAGCTTGCTGTATGTATTTCTAGGCTAGCTACATAGTGAGAGCTAGGCTCAAAACAAAACAAAAAACAAAAAATTAATTATAGGATTCCATAAAATCCTCTAGGAAAAGATTGAAAGAGGAAGGTAAGTATAATATTATCTACGGACAGAAACTTAATTGAATATGCATATTATCAGTCGCCATATTGCTTTCAGGAAGGATAATCTATATGTATATGTATTTATGTCTTGCAATATTTAGTATAAATACCTTTACCTGAAACATATATACATATAGTAGTAAACAATACACACACACACACACACACAAACGCACATATACATTAGAAGACAAATTCTGAATTGTACAGAATGTAGGCTTATTCATTTTTTATTGTAACTTTTAAATATTTTTTACTTTATTACTGCAGTTTTAAAAATCCTATGAGGTTCTGGGAGATGGTTCAGTGAATAAAATTGTTCAGTGGATAATGTTGTACAAGTGTGAGGACCTGTGTTTGTATGCTCAGAGCCCATGTAAAAGCTGGGAATGTATGACAACTGTCTATAAGGGAGATGAGGGATCCTTGGAGCAAGCTGGCTAGCTGAAACAGTTTGAGCTGCTAGTTTAGGGTTCAGGGAGAAAGCTCTGCCTAAATAAAATAAAATGGAGTGTTACTGAAGAAGACGCTTAACATCAGTTTTGGGCCTCCACAAACACATGAACAGAAATGTGAACATGCATACATGCACACATACACGCTATACATACATCCAAAACATATTAAAAATTAAACACACAATAATATTTAACACAGCCAAGATGTGGTATAAAATAGTGAAAACCAAAGCTTAAAAAGTGGTGCCCAACTAACAATGATAGCACATATATCATCTCTGGATAATGTCACTTTACCATCTTGAAAGTACTGTTTACAGGGATGGATGAGTTATCATATATTTATGTGGCCAATTTTACTTTGTTTAGCAGAATTTAGTCATTTTATCTGTAAAAGGATTTACCAGTTGACAGCTGTGCTGTGTTTTTCTTGGACCCAGTATCATGGAATGAATTTATATTCGACCTTAACTTACCAAACTGCCCGAACTATGAAATCACCTTGACTGAAGATCCAAGGAAAGACAGCTGATAATTTAATTCTATTATAAACAGCACGTATCCTGGTGATTTCTAATTCCATCTTGTATTCAAATCCCTTTGTTCTAATTGCTGTCATTCTCTCCTTGTTTTTCTCTAATTATTCTGATGAGAGAAAATTCTCAATTAATCATGGACTGTGTATTTAATCTTAGGATTTCCTAAATCCTCATTTTAAAATTCTCTCTTTCACTAAAAGATAGACTTTATGGTAGACTAAAAAGTTCCCATTTAAATAGTCAGCTTGGTACTTTTATAAAAAATTTTAATGGAAAATTTAATGTTAGTGCATATATAAAGTTTTAAACCATTTGTTGATCTTAAACCTTTCTCCATCAACATGTATAACTTGAAGTAGAAATATCTATAACTTGTTCTTATAGTTATATAATTACTATGCCAATATTATAGTCACCATGAATGTTTTAGTCATTACACTAGTCTGCATACCCCATTATCAATTTGCACATGGAACTTGAAAGATTTCATTGACAAGAGAAAATTGAGTACTTCTGATATACAGGGGTCCTCAAACAGTCCTAGAAAATAAGCTTAAAATGAGGGCTTACAACTTGTAGGCCAGCTTGGACTACATAGTGCAATGAAATCTTATCTCAAAGGAAAAATAAAGATAACACCTTGGCAGATATTTTCAGAACAACCCTAAGGTAACAGTGACTGAGGGGAAGGTGTGTAGCGAGGATACTAATCTTAACTTTAAGTTTCTCTGGCCCCAAGATGATTTTATGTCACTGGAAAATTGTTATTGTCACTGACCCCATCTATGTAACTACCTCTGGAATTCAGGTATCTATACTGAACTATTTTCTTCCATGATATATCACTCAGAACTTGTACTCCTCCTTCCTTGCTCACTTTTTTGGAAAACAATGAAGTGTATGAATTCACACAGAAGTGTATGAAATTATAGACACCTGTATCTGGCTTTCCACTCTACTTCCCTTCAAGAAGAAAGTTGGCCTTGAAAAGCTCCAGAAACCAAATGTAATTTCAAGCTACTTTAATTTCTGAAAATGGATAAAAATTCAGAATATTTTGGTACAATGTATGTTTATTTAAAAATAAATACATTAAAATTCATTGGTCAATCATTAGAAGCATCAGCAGATAAAGTGGAAACTCTTTGATTCAAGTATGATCATCTGTCTTAGGGCTTCTATTGCTGTGAAGAGACACCATGACCATGGCAACTCTTATAAAGGAAAATATGATTGAGGTGGTAGCTTTCACTTTCAGAGGTTTACTTCATTATCATCACAATGGGAAGCATGGAGGCTGGGAGTATGGCAGTGTGCAGGTAGACAAGGTGCTTGAGAACTCTCCATCTTGATTGAAAGACAACAGGAAGTGAACTGTCTCACTGGGTGTGGCTTAAGCACATATGAGACCTCAAAGCCTCCCTCCACAGTGACACACTTCCTCCAACAATACTACACCTACCCCAACAACACTACTAATAGTGCTACTCCCTTTGTGGCCACTTTTTTTCAAACCACAATTACCATCTTTAATAATTTGATGTTCAGAGGTGACAGCCACTGAACAAAGGCACCCTTGCAGCTGAATGTATCAAGCCTTATAGGAAGTCCCCACACGCTAGATTCACAGATTCTTTCCAGTGGGTCTCTTTGGCCACATTCTCGTCTTAGAAATGCATATTAAACCTTCCCCCATCTTTGGGCATTTGGATTTGTGGTTTTGTTAATATACTCAGTGACCAAGTTCAATAGGTTTTAATATCTCGTTTCATAGTTGTAGATCTCCTGGAATTGGAACAGACAGCTGTGAAACAAAATGGGTAAAAGGAACTGATTCTGGGTCTTCTGCAAAGCAGATTCTGGGTCCCTTACAGTGTCTATGATGAGGAATTTAATTATAAAATGTTGCAAAAGTTTACAATTATGTTACTGGTCATATCTGATATAAAATCCTTTTAGTGTTGAATTAAATTAAATCCTCCCAATAGCTTTTCCCACAAATACATGTATTTTGAGATGTAGTCTAATTGTACCACCTCCTTTCTTCTCATGGAACTATTTTGGTGCATTTTGCAAAGTGCTTAGAAATCTGTATCTTCGTTAGTCTGATGTATAAGATTTATCAGGTCTGGTCTAGGCTTAGGAAAACCAGCTGAACATTTTTCACATCTTTAGAAAATGTGATTCTTTAAAGTGTCAACATCTGTAAAACTGGCTAGAAGGATGGTACCAAAGCAGCTACTGATCCAAATGGAAAACCTCGGGCAATTTCACATTTTATTGGAAACAAAGGTGTCATGCTTACTCTGCTGGTCCTTTATCTGAAACCTTTTCATCTTCAGTACTTCTCCAGTTACTGCAGAATGTTTTCTGCCGTGCTGGGTATCAAATTCAGGGGCTTGCCTGGGCTATTTAGTCAAGTATCCAACCAGTGACTGCAGTCCTCCAAATTTAAAGTATTTAAAAACCCCAAAGAATAGAGCAGGTTACATAAATTCCAACAAAACATGTAATATTTATTATAAGTGAAAGGATAAATCACAAACTGGAGCATGGAAATGAAATCATGTACAAAGCTGTGGAAGACACACGCACACACAAACCCATATGCACACACCAACAGACATACACGCACACAAAACAGTCACACATACACACACACACAGAGCTGAATATAAATTTGTCTTAGAATTTTTTTTTGTTTTAGTAGCCAAGGAAGATCGACTATTTAACATCTCTCTGTTATGCAACAGACCAGTATTTTGGAGAGCACTGTCTAAATTGAGAACATCAGATGGTAACGTCTTCTAGGTGTTCACAATCTACCTGTTGATAGGAAGAGGATTTTTCAAGTCTTGGAGAGGCTTAAAGGATGAGCTCTGCTTTTCCAAGTTGGATCAGCAGAACTAAGAACTGGAAAGGATTTCCAGGCTTATGGATGAACACAAACAACTTATGTCATTTTATTGTCCCCATTGTATCCTAGATTTTGAGAGGGGGATATACTCATTATAGTGCTTAAACACTATGTAGTTGCTGATAATAAAATTACAGGAGAAACATACAAAGATGAGTATATAGGGGGAGTGGGGCCTGTGTTTGCAAATGCTCCCTGGGTGCCATCTATCCCAGGTACTGGGTAGTGTAAACTGTGGGGATAATGGCAGGGCTGGCAGCTGTTAGCAGCAGGCAACTTTCTTATCTACCTTCTCCAACTCCTTATGCCATTTTCTCTATCTCCTTCAGAGCTGGCAGATGCCCCTCAGCCAACGTGACAAGGAGTTCACTTGTCTTTGCTGGGGATCCCAGAGTGTCACCTTTGATTAACTGTTAGAGAAATAAAAACAGGGGTTGTCCCAATGAGTGACTACTGTGTCAAACTCAAGGACTGCAGATGGTTCTTCCAGGAAGGTCTGGAGTCACCTGTGAGACTTCCTAGAACTAAATTTTTCCTTTATCATCAAATAATTAAACCTTTGTTACCATTATGGTGGTCTGTTGTGGTCTGTTCTCTACTGAAATACACAAGATCAATGACAGTGATTTTTTCTTTAGAGTTAAGAAGTAAAAGAGCTGTGCTCAAGATCTAACTGCCAAGAATTAGGTGTGTGTTGGGCACAGTGGTACAGGGCTGTTAACTCCAGTATCTGGAAGGTGGAGGCAGGAACATCAAGAGTCCATGGTCATTCTCAGCTACATTGTGAGTTCCAGGACAGTGTTCCTCTAGTGATTCCATCTCACAAAACAAAACAAAAATAATTATATATATATATATATTTAGGCAAATCAATTTCTATAGAATCTTTTTGCTTAACATGTAAAATAATTTATCCTTTCTGACACTAAAACCACCTAAATCATGGCTTTCTCTAGTGGTAGTGATCTATTGGAGGGCAGAGTTCACATTTACAACCCCAAATACCTATCACAATGACTATTAGACTGTATTTTTAACAACTCTGTTCATTGGCTCAGTAATTTAATGGGGGAAAAAATGGAAGTTTCTATAGCTTTAAATGAATGTAAGTTGTGAGGGAGGTGAACTTTACCATAATGCTCTCTCTTGGGTCTGGCAATCTAGGCCTGGAGCCTGGAGCTCCACATTACCAGTCCCAATCCACATAACACATCAGACAGTGCCTGGGTGTCCACACTCCTCAGACTTTCATCCCTCCCAAGTGTGCTCATCCTAAAGGCTGTGGCACTCTTTGGATCCTTTGGTACTCAGGAGCATACAATGCTCTTCATGTGTAGCCATGATGCTACTGTCAAAAGGTGCCTGCAAAAGAAAAAGAAAACAAAAATCAGTATTTATTCGGTAACACATTTTGTATGCAGCCTCAGACTGCTCTAGCTGTGCCTTTTACGCAAATCCAGGACCATGGCACTGAAAGCTTACTTCTAGGTTACCTATGTTAATTACTCATATCCCCACTTGTCTGTGAAGTAGGTACTATTATTATCTCCAGTTTGCATGAGGGTTTTGAAAGGAAAACGAGTGTGTGTGTGTGGGGGGGGGGGGTGCTGGTATGCTTGAAGACACGAAAGTGTTTGGGTTTTCTGGCTCCAGGGACCAGGCCTTAAGCACTACACCATGGTTCCCAACTTTAGTGCCTGATTCAGCTCCCCCATTTGTCTAATTCATCTTTGAGAAAATGTAACTAGAAGTTTGAAACTTACTTTGCCCAATCAGGAAAATCTAGTCTCTTTTCACACCCTCCCTTTTTTTTTTTTTTTTTTTTGGTTTTTACGAGACAGGGTTTCTCTGTATTGTTTTGGAGGCTATAGGTCCAGCCCGGCCTCGAACTCACAGAGATCCGCCTGCCTCTGCCTCCCGAGTGCTGGGATTAAAGGCGTGCACCACCACCGCCCGGCACACCCTCCCAATTTTTAACTGGATTTTCCTTTTTGTCCTTTTTTTCTCCCTCCCCCGCCAATATAGCACTTGTATTACAAAATATGTAAAGAAAAGGGAGTCCACAGAACACTTTTGAATACTAAGGGGATTGTTATAGAAAGGTCAAAATCACCAGTAATCACTCCAGGTGAAAGCTTGATTAAAAACATAGATGATCCCAAAGGAACCACTTCTTAAATCTCCAGACCAAGCATTTATAAAAGATGTTAAGTATCTGACCTCAAAAGTTTTGAGATTTTACTGGAGTGCTTGACTGTTTTGAAAAACTGGTTTTATAGTTGTATATTTCTCTTCAAAATAGAGCTCAGGAAATTAGCTTTAATATTTTAGCAATTTAATATACAATGAACGAAAAAGCCAAAAAACAAAGGCAAGGTTACAAAAACTAAAATTCAAGAGTACTCAAGATCAGTTTTCAGAACTGCTTTCTGTTAAACCTCCCAAATTGTCTTCCAGCTGTGCTCTGCAAGAGCTATAACATTTAAGAACTGACATTAAGCCGGGCGTTGGTGGTGCACGCCTTTAATCCCAGAACTCGGGAGGCAGAGGCAGGCGGATCTCTGTGAGAGAAACCCTGTCTCGTAAAAACCAAAATAAAAAAATAAAAAAAACTGACACTATTAAGATGGGAACAGCATTATAATAAACTCATAGATGGTACACAAAACGTCTTAAGACCTCAACTATAAAAAGTGAGAATGCCATTTTATTTGCCACAGAAATGAGGGAAGAAACGTCAGTGAAATAAATGTGATAACATGACTCACACTTCATTATAAGTGATTTCCCCAAATTCACAATGTTTCCGTTTGGCTGAACTAAAACGAACTGAAGAAAGGAGCTTGTAAGTAGGCCACTTATGTTACTCCCAAATGAGTTTAAATACCCACATGAGGTAAATACACTGTTGGTTGTGTTCAGCAATCTTCTCTGTCAGCCGGTTTTACAAGAATCATAAAATATCTTATAAAACATATATGAAATTTTCTTGGCTCAGTCTTAAAAGTAAAAATAAGGATATTCAAATCCATACTATGTTGCTTCCAAACTTCTTCTATTACTTTAGAGTTGCCTAGATGGGCTGTACAATTAGTCATTTCACTAAGATTATTGTGTGTACAAATTTAGCACCCCGTGGACTAAGAGTAATGAGAATAAAGTCCTTCTCGAGTGCTCCAGTTCCCCACTAACGGGACGAGTTTTCTCTGGAACATAAGGAAGCCTAGGTACCACATCCTACAGTCACCTAGGACTTGAGAGAATTCAGAAACCCAAAATAAAATACTCTAAAATTCATTTGAAATGTCTGAAGTCTAAACGAATTATTTTGCCCTTCTTCCCAGTTTCATATTGACAATAGAGATGAGGTGTCAGATTAGTGCACGGATCTTTGGTAAACTCACATTTTAATGCCCCCACCCACCCCCGCAGTGAAACCAAAAACAGAAATACAAGTTTGCTACTACATGCTTTCCAGACTTAAACGCCCAATAATAAGCACACTGCACCGGTCCTTGGTCAGGGAGGCTCACATTTTAAATAAACATTGCCAGAAGAATGTCCTCAACTGAAGACTGAAGTCACTCTCCCTTCCTCTTCGGACCTTCCGAAGAAGGTGGGTGGGAGAAAAGACAACGCTCAGCTCAGTCCTCCATGGCAAAGTCTTTGGTCTTTTCCTCCTGGTCCCCCACTTTGTAGCGCAAGAGGACACGCAGATGTCTGGGGTTGTCCCGGGAGGGCAGCAGAGTGATCTCTCCGGAAATGTCCGTATCTTGTTCCACAGGCACCGGCTCATTCAGGTAGAGGAGCGCCTGCTTCCAGTGGGTGCTCGGGTGAAAAGGCGAGGTGGACAGCACCAGAGGTTTCTCCGAGTCCCCTCCAGGGAAGGTCACCTGGAACCAGATGGCAAAACCATGCAGAGGAGCCGAGCCATAGCAGCTGCAGCGGAAGCGCCCGCCTACACCGGTCTCCAGCTCCTGCTCCAGGCCGGCGCGGGCCAACTCGAGATGGGCAAAGCGCTGCGGCCGGGCCAGCACGTCCTCGCCGGACAGACCATGCACCACGATCTCCGAGTGGCTCATGAGGCAGCGCGTGGCGAAGCTTTCCAGGCAGCTCATGTCAACGCCGTACTGCTGCTTCACCTGGCTCCAGAAACCCAGACGCCATTCCAGCATCTGGTCGCTAATCGGGGCCACGAAGAGCTCCGCGGAAGCCGGCAGGAGGAGACCGCCCTCCTTCAGCCATTTGGTCCGCGCGTGGAGCACGGAGCTCAGCATGGACTCGTGCAGAAGTCCGTAGCCCATCCATTCGCTCACGATGGCGTCCACCTTCTCCGGCAGCTCCACCGTCTCCACCGGGCCTGGCAGGACGTGCACGCGGTCTTCCAACCCGTTGAGCCGCACTACCTCCCGGGCCTGTTGCCAGATGGCGCTGGCCTCCACGGCGTACACGCGCCGGGCACCGGCCTGGGCGCAGAAGATGCTCAGAATGCCGGTGCCCGCTCCCACGTCCAGCACCGTCTTACCTCGCAGCGCGGCCCAGTTCCGCAGGATGCCCAGGCGGTAGGCGTCGGTGCGGACGCGGTCGGCGATCATCTCCTCGTGGATCGACACGTCGGAGTAGCACGCGTAGTACAGCTGGTCTCGCTCGCACTTAGTCCTCCGGGGTCCCGGCTGGGCTGCCTCCTGCTCCCCGCCATCTTCCTTCTCGGCTCCCTCCCCTCCTGCGCCGCCGTGCCCCGACTCAAGCTTTCTTTTCTCGATCAGCGACATCTTGGCCGAGGCGGCAGGCCCCCAGCAGGCGTTGCGCGGTGCGGGCGATCTGGCTCCGAGTCCCGGAGGCTGCTGGGTTTTGTAGTCCAGGCTGGTTATCCCACCCCTTTCGGGTGGAGGCGCTCTGAGAATCTCATTGGACTAGGGCAGGGCACTTCTGTTCCGCTTCTCTAACCCCTTTACACACCTTTTCCCTAAGACCACACTGTTAATCCCGTGATTCTTTCAGTTCTTGCTCTTTCCTTTTGCCGATCCGCCTTTTTTAGTTTCACCTACTCTTGAAGCAGACACACCCACTTACAACTGTGTCTCTGCTCCTCTATTGGATGTCCACCCCCTCGACTGAATTATGGTGGCGTGGTTCAGGGGTTCAGTTCCCTTTCCTGACACTTGAAACTCATCAAGCTCTCTGTTCTAACTGTAGATAGGTTACAAAGAATGTGTAAGTGGGACAAAGTGAAAACCTAACAACACAAGATCTTGGTTCTGAGTCCAAAATGATCCCCAATGGACTGAAAAATCCAGGCCAACAAATGCCTTTTCACCCACCATTGTGTTTCTGGAGAAAAGTTTACTTCGACTTAAGTCCTGTTCTGAAAATCTTATGGTTCAAACTAAAGAACAATTAACTTCTGTCGTGTGATACTCCCAAACCCATTACTGGTGAGTATCTAGTAACCAGTTTATATATAATCACATACAAATATACATAAATCTATATGTCCATACATAAATATTTTCTTGGCGAAATGACGGGATTGTTATCTTCTGACTACTTTTGCAATGCAGTTTGCTTTGTAAACCATCATATGTCTCCTTTGTAAAGGCAGAACTGATACCCACATCCTCAGTTTTTTTTTTTTTTTTCTGTCATTCAAGCAGGAGCTGCTAATCCCTTTTCGTTGTCCACAACAGAAGTACAATAATCTTTAAATGGTTGCTGTATGGAGCTGGAGAGATGGCTCAGGAGTTTGCAGCACTGGCTGCTCTTCCTGAAGAACACAGGGTAGACTACCAGATCTGCATAAAGACCCACAAGGAGTTTAAACTCCAATCCATCCCAGGAGATGTGCTGACTTTATCTCATTCACAGACAAACATGCAGACAAAACACCCATACATGTAAACAAAGGGTTTTTTTAAATTTTTATTTTTAAATTTCAATTTAAATTAGAAACAAGTTTGCTTCACATGTCAATCCCAGGTCCCTCTCCCTTTCCCTCCCCTCCTCCCATACCCTCCCTCCAGCCCCCCCCCCCATTATCCCCTCATTTCCCCAGGGAGGGTGAGGCCCTCCATGGGTGTGTCCATAGTCTGTCATTTCATCCAGGGTGAGAGTGCATCTCTCATTGTTGGATGGGCACCCAAAATCCATTTGTATGCCAGGGATAAATACTGATCTATTACCCAAGGCCCCAAAGATTGCCTAGGCCTCCTCACTGACACCCAGATTCAGGGAGTCTTGATCAGTCCCATGCTGGATTCCCAGCCATCAGTCTGGGATTCAAGAGCTAACCCTTGTCAGGTCAGCTGTTTCTGGGGGTTAAACCAGCCCAGTCTTTTTTTTTTTTTTTTGTTTTTTTTTTTGTTTTTATGAGACAGGGTTTCTCTGTATTGTTTTGGAGGCTGTCAGTCCAGCCCGGCCTTGAACTCACAAAGATCTGCCTGCCTCTGCCTCCCGAGTTCTGGGATTAAAGGCGTGTGCCACCACCACCCGGCAAACCAGCCCAGTCTTAACCCCTTTGCTCATCCGTCCTCCCTCTCTGTCACTGGGTTCCTTGAGTTCAGCCTAGTGCTTAGCTGTGGGAGTCTGCCTGTGCTTCTATCAGCCATTGGATGAAAGTAAACAAAATTTTTTAAATGACTAAATGATTCTTTAACAAGAATAACATTATAAAACTGATCCCACAAAAGAAAATGGGCCTTTGTTTTCTTGTGTTAAATTACTTATTTATCCATGTTAAACTTCTTAGTGATAGAGTTTCTTAACCCCTTCTCTCTATTAATGTCACTAATGAAATAGGCTTATTGATGTGAATTCCTCAGCTGTACTTCCAAACTTAGGACTCTCGGTACTGGTGACTCATTAGAATCCTCCAAGGAACTTTATCGAAATACCTATGGAAGGGTCTACCTCAACCCAGTTAAATGAGAATCACTCCGGGGAACTTAGGCATCTAGCTTTTAAAGATCCCCAGGGAATCCTAGTGTGAAACCAGGTAATTATTGCTGTTTCTGATTTAATTTCCTTAGTTGAGTCTTATATCATTATTTTCAATAGCCAGGGCTCAGCAACCTGCAACTGAAAAACCCTAAAGCAGGTATTCTAAGGTGTTACCTTGTTTGAATATCTTATTTTAACAAATGATGCCCGGAATAGGACATGGCATTAATTATAAATGTGAGAGTTTTGTAACCCACATTAGGCTTTCACTTAGCTTATACTTCTCCCACTCTGTCCTTAAAGTGTAATTTTCTCCTTTGGATATGTTGTCGGGGCCCAAATATGGTGTTTCCAATACAGGCCTCAGCTCAATTCCAGGAGCTCAAATCTCCTATTGTCTTTTAGATGTCAGCTGGTTATCACACCTGGGCCCTGGGTGGACCTACACCCATCCTGAACACTAGAGAGACTGGTGCCTGGGGATGAGTGGGACATGCCAGTTGTAAGGGTGTCTCAAGGGTTAAATGTGCGCATGCACATAAATGCCATGGTATGCTTGTGGAGGTCAAGGACCACTGAGGAAGCTGCCACTTCCCTCCTCATGTGGTACTTGGGACTCAACAACAGTCTCCAGGGGTGGCTGTAAGTGTCTTTTCCTAGTGTACAATCTCCCTGACTCAGAACGTGTTTGCTTTGTTTTGTTTTTGTTTTTCAAGACAGGGTTTCTCTGTGTAGCTTTGTAGATCAGGCTAGCCTTGGACTCACTGACATCCGCCTTCCCCTGCTTCCAGAGTGCTGGGGTTAAAGGCGTGCACCACCACCACCCTCCGAGTGTATTTGGTATCAACACAATTTTCAGTTCACTTCTTTGTGGTTTCTTGTGAAAATAGTCTAAACAAATTTTGTTGGTTCATTTGTTTTTCTTCATTTTTTTTTCTGAGAAAAAATCCAACTCTATTGAAGATGAAAGTATCTATTTAACCTGGCAACCAATCAGTCTCTGAAGGAATCTCCTTGCAACTAGCAATGTACCTAACTCATCCATTCTTCATATAGCTTGCACACAAGACCATTTCAAAAATACATTAATCTTGCTGGGTGTTGGTGGCACGCGCCTTTAATCCCAGCACTTGGGAGGTAGAGGTATTTGGATCTCTGTGAGTTCTAGGCCAGCCTGGTCTACAGAGTGAGTTCCAAAGGAATACCCTGTCTTGAAAAAACTAAAAACAAACAAACAAACAACAATACATTAAGATCATATCACTTGAGCAATTTCCTGTTCTCTAATTGAGAGAATCAAGTAACTTCAGATGATTTCCATCTTACCTCATAGCAGCACATTCCAGATTCATCAGTGGTATCAAGACACACCCACTTGTCTTCTGATACCAATACTTCTTTTCTGGGTCACATATCCACTTACATTGAAGAGTTGAAACTCCAGATCAACCCTTCCCCCAGCCTTAGCTCCTAGAGACTATGTTGTATGCAACAGACCTAGAAGCGAAACTGAACACAAAGGAACTCCAACCCCCCCTACCCCCAGTCTCTTAGATACTTGGGTCCTGTGTACTGTTTGACCACAAAAAAATCTCCCCTGTAGTCTCCCGGAAATTCAATTCTGAAAAATATTGGTACAATAGGCCACCTGTAAGCCATAGAAACCACAGAATGTTTCCTTCTCACATCAACCTATGAGAAAAATGGGTACACAGGTTTTACACATGAAAAACATGACTTTGAAAAATTTCTGGATTGTTCCCCAAGTGTCAACCAATCAGAAGCCAACCTGTACCTACTGATGTAATCCTGTAACTTTTCTTTACCTAGCAGTAGACAGGGAACTTCACTCCTTCTGGAGGCTACTGTGTCAGCTTGCTAGCTGGGGTCCCTCCCTGGGTAGGATAGAATAATCAATATACCTCATTCATTTGTATCAGTGGGTCTGTCTCCCTGGTCTCTTTGGGGATCCTCATGACCTGGGCACAGCAATGTGTGGCCAAAGCCCAGAAAAGAAGTCCCTCTGTATCACTTTACATCGATGGCATGACTGAGAATGCCTTCCTTGTCTAATGTTTTCCCATCCAAGATGCTGGTGTTTTTCCTTCATAGCTTTTGTTATTGACTGTTTATATTTAATTACTTAAGTTTTTCTAAGCAAGGTAAATTTCATGAGACTTGAACTACTTATGTCACAGTCCCTAGCAAGAGTACAAGGGCACCTGGGAATGACACAGTGAGTGATCTTGACTGGACTGTTCTGAATAAACCATCATGTTTTCATGTAAACGAAGAACCCAAGGTTTGTTAAGTATGTCCGTGTCTCGATAATATGCTGGAAAACTCAGAAAAATTCAAGTATAGATTGAATTCAAGATATTCTCAGAAATAGTTTCATTTTACCTTCTCTTTGTAGGTAGAATGATGATAAAGTCACAAACACAAAGTATAGAGAAGAAGAGGTCTATGACACGTCCCTCTTCTATATCTTGGCTTGCCATAGAGAGGGAATTCATTGCTTATTCTACCACATGGAATATTCTGGAGTGGGAAAGGGATCCAGATCATAACTGTCTCAGCACTGAAGGTCAATAGGAACTCTTACACTACTGAGTCCTTTAGACAGGAAGAGAGTTGTGGCTGTGCTGGCAGAATATTCATTCTGTTCCCTTGTAGTGGAATACACTCACATCCATCTAGTGAGGAAACCCAATGGTTTTCAAACAAACGGACCTTGAAACATTACATTTTAACTAGCAATTAGATTGGAAATACTAAAACTATGAAATTATAAAGACTAGCTATTGTTTCATAAAACTTATTTTACTTGAGTATACTATATGTGTTTCTTGCTTTATGTTAAAGACTTCAACATCCACAGCTTACTATTATCTGTGACTTTTGAAC